GTATGAAATTGGTATAGTTACGTTTCCCTACTCCGCCGGTCTCTCTCTCTCTCTCTCTCTCTCTCTCTCTCTCTGCCTCACCTGTTAATTTATCGCGCATTTATTACGAATACGCTTTTGTTTTGCAGGCATGGCGAGCATAGCGGCCGCCGGTCTCGAGGTGCACGAGGCGGGTCGGGCGTTACGCGTGCAAACGGAAACACCGCATCTCGTCTCCATGGGAAGCGGTCGACTGTCGACGGCCGTGACTTTGCATCCTTTACCCGAAGGTTAGATACAAATGCGATATGTGATGGTTTATTTTGCTTTTTCCTCCATCTTGGACGCGACCTTGGCAATAGTCTTTTTGAAGTTACAATTAATTTAAAATATCTAATTATATTTGTCAATTTATTATATTTAATTATACCGAACTGGAGACGCAATTATATCTTGAAGAGCGAAAGGAGAAAGAAATAAAGTTTGCATTGGAGACGGCTTTGGTCCGTTTATTTTATTCACGGAATATTTTCCTATTATCCGCGTAGAACGAACGAAACTGATTCTGGGCTGGTAGCAACAGATAAACTCATCGCCACGTAACCAGTGATTCATCCAGTGTCTTAATCCAAGGCTCGAATAGCGTTGTCCAAACTGATAAAGCTTTACAGCGCTATTGGATTACCGATAGAAATTACCATTGCTATGTGTAGCATTAAGTGGAACAGCTCGAAACAGAAAAAAATATAGTGATTTATGCTTTCGTTCTTCATATTATTATGGAAGAAACATATCGAGAAGAGCGTTAGCGATAAAATTTTTAAATATATGATATATTTATCAGACAAAAACAGATGCTGTTTGCCATCAAAAAAGGTGAAATATTTACGATAGGAACTATCAAGACCGTAGTATCTTCCACTGCAATATGTCGAGCTTGATTTTAGACTTTGTGTATAAGTGCCACACGACACACACACACACACACACACACACACACACACAGAGATTGCCTAATGTAAATAGTATCTATCTAGTTGTCGAACAATAAAATTAATTTATGATGGACTTGGAGCAAAAATTATTATTGTTCTATCATTTTTTTGTCTGGGACCAGTCAAGACAATTCTCATAGTTATCTAATAGAAAATTCAATCGATTACTTAACGACCTCTAGACATATTATTCTTGCATTCGCTCAATAACCGCAATATACTGTAGTCGTTAGTACTAAGAATTTAACGAAACGCGTTTGTCAGAAATATCGTGCATTTGTGTTTTGGATGTCGCAGGTTTAGAATATCCGTCATCTTAAGCCGCCTAGTATAAAGTATAAGAAAATTGTTGACCAATTTGGTGCGTACCAATTATCATATGTCAATGAAGAAAATCAAGATTCCATCGAAGATAGTATGATGTATCGCTCAAATTTGCTGTCGCGATGTGCACTTCCACGCGAGAATTTTATCCATGAATAAAACCTGACAGGATAAAAGCGTGCGCGCGCGCGCGCACACACACACACACACACACACACACAAATAGGCGCCACGAAAGAAAAAAACTTGACGTAACATCGTCGTGGCAGATGTTGCATTTACAAAGGTCCATCTTTTCGTCAAACAAACGACGACAAATGGGAGAATCGGCCGGTTCTTGCCACCAGATCTTCTCATTATAACGCAACACAGGTTTAAGGTGTCTCCACGCTGAGCTATACCGAAAGTCGAGTGCGTCGTCAATAAATAGCATTTTTTGAGGACTTAAAATAAAAAGGTGGATGTTTAGATAGACAAAGATATCAAGTGACCGATACGCACGTGCCATAGGATTTAGAAAATAGTGTTAATAATTGTAGTGTATTTTATCAAATATAGTTAAATAAATATTAAACAATATTATAACGCGCTCACACAAAAATATTGTATATCTTTTATATATAACGTAGTTATTTTCAATTGACATTTGATCATACATAGACAATAATATTATTGTTGTGAAATGATCTTTAGATCCATATATCTATATATTCGCACATACCACATGCCGTGCAGTCTGTTGTTCAACAATAAAGCCGATCGTCAAGTTCTTAGGATTATTGTTACGAGATCCTTGGAAAAGCATAAGGGGTGTCTAAGGGATGCAAGTCTACGTAGGGATACGGAAGTAAAACGAAAGGTACTGCCAAGTTATAATGTTAACGAATACTCGAATCTGTAGGATACAACAGGAGACAATCAATCTGAGTAATATTGATAATATGCATATAATAAATTATGGATACAATATATGTATATATTTATTTGCGTATGCATCATGAGATACGCGAGGAGAAAAATTGTTTAATTTAACCAAATGTTGATGCAATCGTCGTTACATAATTGTGGTAAAACAAAGATGAAAATTACGTGTCAAGTGATGCGACAGGCTAAATTATGTTGATTGCCGATACGAGTGTGTCAAGAAACGGAGGGAAAAGTGTCGGGTGTGTCGGTTACATCATCACATTGCAACGCGTAACCCGAGATGGGTAGGAAGATCCGTTGACTGCGCTTCGAAGCGTGATTCTCATCGCATTGTGATAAATTAATAAACAATTAACTATATACATATATAAGAAGGTAAGCTAAGAAGACACAGGTATATATAAAACACAGGTTCATCGAAAGTACAATTTTGAGGTCTGATTTTTAAGAAGAAACATTGAAAGGAGAATAAAGGTATACATTTATGTGAACGTAGTTCTGATTCTAAACAAATAGAACTCGACGAAATCGAGATACAGATTCGTTATACAAGAGTATTGATATTTTAATCGTCGTGATGTCGAATGTCGTATTCAAAAGATGGGTAAATACGAATGCGTAAATACAAAGATGGGTATTGGAATTGCTGATAGTCATCGGTCACTCTCGACGAGGTATATCTCATTCTTGACGCCGGCCGCGGCCGTGTCGCTCGAGAGCTCCTCGCGATCGTTCGCGATAGTTCGCGAACGAGTGCTCGTGAGATCACTATCCTGTCGTTCCTTCTCGGTTTGTGTGTCCGAAAAGCCCCTCGTTTCTATCGGAAAATCTTCCAGTTGAATTTATTCACATTACAATATCATATACAGCATCGCGTATTTGAATGTCGAATAATTTCATTAGTAGCTCTTATAACTTATAAATGATTCTATACTTTTACTTTCCTAGACGCAGACGGCTTTCTCCATTAAATAAAATTGCATCCTAGATATAATATTTTAAATGAACTTGGAGCACCGACTAAACTAACTATTTTATTCCGTCGTTCTTTATCCAATTCCAATCGCAATCACAACATAAATGTGGCATTTCAGCAGTCAACAGAACGGAGCTGCCATCACAGCGATTACTCCACATGTGGACATCGCCGTCGCGACTCAGGATCGGCCGGGCACCTAGGAAAAAGACACAGCCTTAAGCTGCACCATCAACTGCCGCGGCCGATAAAGGATGGAGAACACCGACGGATCCAGGAGGAAGCTCTCCTTCCTCGGCTTCGGCAAACGAGTATCGGTGAGTGCTCGACGAATAATTCATATGTAAGATCTCACTGTCAAAGGATTGAAAGAAAATCGAAAGAAAATCGTCTACACACATCGTTTTCACACATTCGAGCATATTACTGACCTAACAGCTATCGATTTATCGATGATTTATGATAGCGGTACAACAGTTGACAAACGATATTCCATATTGTAATTATTCGAAATTGGTATGCACTTGGGTATGCTACTACGATAAACGTACACATATCGCGTTACTTGAATGCTCGACATAATATCTCTCACATCCGTGTACAAATTTGCGACCCCAGTTTGCGCATTCTTCGTATCGCAGATTCCTGTGCATCTAAGAATTTTTAGCACAAAATTCTAACGCTAATATATATCTCTTACGTCAAATATGCATTCTCTCCGTTGTTATTTTATTTATTTTAGATAATTTTTTAGGTAATTTTTGGTAAGCTGATCGTAAAAAATACTTGTCACCATTTTCGCTTTTAGCTTTCTCGATGAGTTCCCTAATTCAGCGGAAAAACCAGCTTATCAAATGGTTACGATGCGAAACTCACTGCGATGGACGTTTTCATATTTCAGAGTGACGCATCGACTTTTATATTCGCATAAAAAATCCAACGAGACTAAATAAATAAATTCGCGTTTTCCGCATGTGTTATCGTTCAAATCGAACGTAAGCAGATGTAATGAGGCTCCCGAATGAGTCACAACGATCCGTATCACACATTCGTGCATGCGGAATGAGTCGCGTATTGTATGTTCCGATATGTATGTATGTATGTACGAGGGAGCAGAGACCCTCGTCTCGCTTCTACGTCTTCTACGCTCTGCGAAATGGCGTGCGTTTTATCGCGGTTGTCTCCTAACTCCGACATAGATTCGTAAAGCGGGACGACCTAGAGCAGGACTGATTGGCCTGATTGTTGACGGTCACGGGTCAATAACCATTTGACACCGTGTGTGGCGCGCGCGGATCGCACGACACGGGCTAGAAACGCGAAACGGTGCGGCAGCACGTGACTTCGATCGGAAAGGAAAGTTGCCGGGACTTCCACGTCGCGCACGCTAAACCATCGTACTTGAGCCATAGTTCTTCGCGATGTAGAGACCTGTAAACTCCGTGCTCGATGAAGCCCTCAAAGTGCACCATCGATATGATGCGGGATCATCGCATAATAATTGCGAATCTCGCGCATACATCGCGCATAAGCGATTACGTAAGCTCGAGGGAGCAAAATCGAATCCAGATGCGCTAGATCTGGATCGTTGTCATTGCGACTATCATCAACCTGACTATTACTAACGACTAAATTTGTCATAAATTTTTCATTTTCACGCATCTGTAGATCCTTCTTTTCGTCATTATCATGAATATTACAATTTTGTCATCTTTGACATAATCTTCCGGCAACTTTCAACATATACATATAGTTTTTCAATTCGTGATTGGTCGCGATTAGTTTCGTCCCGCTGACCTGGATCGAGCGATCGAACAGCTAAGTGTCGCCCCTTCACCCCTCTTTTGCCCCTATGGAACAGGAAGTCGCCTAATAGAAACGCAAATTGGACGAAATGTCTGGAAATTCGATTTGACATGTCCTATTTTCTTTTTTTTTCTTTTAACCCTAAAACTGTAATTTACAGATGTATGAATGAATAACGAAACGATTCTGAATAGATTTGTTTTATTCTAAACACGTGTTATTCTATCTCGATACTCTTTTGTTGCGGTCTTGTCTCATTTTGCATCGTGTGGGATTTAAAACATTAACGAGTTCGCCGATGTACCATTCAAGTGCTTACGCAAGGTCGGAAGTCGTAAATTCGATTATCAAGAATGGTGTCAATCGTATCGTCGCTATCATACAGCTTGATTGCTTCTGACATTGTCAGTGTACAGGTAGCCTGTTTATGGCGAAACGGCATACGATTGATTCATAAGAGAGATTTCTCCTATGTTTCCAACTATCCCAAAGGTAGGGGTTCACTTTCCGTGATAACATATCGTTGCCAGTAAGACGCGCATTTTTCACGAGATCATTCCATTCCGCTCAACACGACAAAAAGAATTAATCAATTTGTTACGATTGTACCAAACATCATTTTGCCGTTTTTTTTTCAGTTTCAAAAATCAACACAATTTTGAAACTATACTGAGTCTTTGGTTCAAGGAATCTTGTATCATTTTTACATCGGCAATTCTTTTCTGGCTAAAAATTCTTGAAAATTTTGTCCTAACTTGCGATATTAGGTGATAGAATATTGAAAAATGATC